GCCCAGGGAGGCTGTGGAGTCTCCTTCTCTGGAGATATTCCAGCCCCGCCTGGACAAGGTCCTCTACAACCTACTGTAGGTGACCCTGCTTGGGCAGGGGGTTGGACTAGATGACCCACAGAGGGCCCTGCCAACCCCGACCATTCTGTGATTCTGTGATTCCAAGCTTGTGATGTTTGGCTTTTCTCTGTTTCAGAGGCTGGAGAGGTGCGTGGGCATCGTGACGTCGCTAACCAACGGGCTGTCGGAGAGAGAAGCTAACGATGCCCTCAATGCCCACGTAAGTGTCATCTCCTTCAGAGACAAGAAATCCTGCCTGGATGGAAGAATTCGTGGTCCGTTGTACCCGCGCGGGTCTTTGTCTGAGGGAGCGGGCGTGCAAGCTGGGAGCAAGGCACAAAGACCGGGACGATACGAAGAGGCTGGGGAGCGGAGCCCGCTGTGCGCTCGCTGCTCTCAGCCTATCGAGGATTCTCGGAGCTATTACAGTGAAAAGACAAAGCAGCCTCGTGGCTTTAATCCTGGTTTAATCCCCTTTTTGGAAGCTGACCCGCAGTGTGGTTTCTTGCTGAAATCTGGCTGGGTGCGCTCCCGGCGCGTGCGTGCTGTGCACAGGAGCACCCGCGCAGGAGTCTGGCACCGGGCGTCTGCTGCTGGTGTTTGCGTTTCTCCTGTATTTTTGTACTCCTGTGCTGCTCAGATCAGCTTCTTCCTGGCCTCCAAACAGCCAGAGCACTGGAAAGGGCAGGTTCAGCCTTTCTATTGAGGGATGGAGCATTTATTTCTAACTCTGCAGACTCTGAAAATGCTTGCCAGCAAGCTGCAGATGTTACCGTATAAGGAAAACCGCTGTGTGAGATGTTAATGGGTTCTCGGGCGTGTTGGTTGTGTTTTTTCCTCCCCAGAACACCTTGGGCTGTCGGACTCAGTGGTACAGAGTTGCCTTCCCTTAACGGGAAAAGGTCGGCGACCCGGGCTGGGTTTCAGGGCTCTGAAGCTCACGAAAGGCCTGCCCGCTCGGCTGAGCCGGTCGTAGAGCAGGCTGTAAGGAGAGCCTGGGCAGGTCCCCAGCTGCAGGGCAGGGCCCAGGGGGCTGCTGCCACCCTTCCCTGGGGCTTGGTTGCCCCTCAGGAGTGAGATACCCCAAAATGGTCCACCTAAAGCCACGGGAAAGCGCTTGGTTCTGAGAGATTGCACCAGCGTTAACTTTGCGACGCGGTACAAATGTTGGCGAGACCCTGTGTGTGTTCTGTGTTCCCCCGTGATCCTGCTTTGAATTCCTCACGGGCTGCTGGGTGCTCTGCTGACCGCCCGTTGGGTGGGCTTGAGGGGGGGTTCCTCCCCCTGTGGCTGTGCTGCCCTTCCTCTGCCCTCCCGGCGCCCCTGCTCACCGGTGGCACTTGCGTTTTTCTCCCTCAGATATGCAAAGGAACCCCCCAGCACGAGGAGATCTGCCTGGGTCTCTTCACTCTGGTCTTGACGGAACCTGCCCAGGCGCAGAAGGTAAGGCCTGCGCCCGTCGGCAAGCACGGAAAGTTTGTCCTCGAGAGATTTTTGCTTTCCAGGCAGCCGGCAGCTCGGAGCTGTGGAAGTTTCGGGTCTCGTGCAGGCGTCGGAAGGCGCCTGGGCGGAACCCTCGGCGCTGAGCAGTGTTTGTTGTAGCCGGGCAATGGCTTCGCTTGGACCATTCCTGGTGGTGTTGCGTCCGCGCGGCACCGGGGCTGCAGCAGCTGCTGCTCCGGGGAAGGGAGCTCGGCTGGGTTCTCTCACAGCCCTGGGATTAATTGTTTCTCGCTGTGGGAGGTGGGTACTCATTCTTCAAGAAACTGTAAGGCCTTTCCCAGTTTCTGTCTTGTCTTTGGAGGCCCAGAATGGATTTGCGTGCTGGGAGCCACGTGTAGATGCCTACAGAAATAATCACCAGGACTCTAGAGGAGGAACATGTTCAGTTCCTGGAGAAAATTGCCTTTTGGCAGTCCACCTCTATTAATTTCACGGACTGGATTTAATTTTTAAATAACTCTCTTGAACGCTGCTGTAAAGCGTGATTTTTAAAATTGCGGTTACGTACGGGAGGATGGATGTTTTGTGTTCTGAACATCTTGGATCTGGATTTGTTGCTGTTGCTACAGAGTGGGGGTGCTCGGGGAGGGAGCCGAAAATGGTGTTTTGTTATAGAAACCAGACCTATTTGTAGCAGCTACAAGGAGAAACAAAAGCACGGTGGAAGGGCCGTGCGTGGCGAGCGGTACCCGGGGGGGCTTGTTTGGATGCGTCTCGGTTAAGAGGTGTTGCTTGGGATCTGAAAGGGTTGAAGTGGCCTCTTGAAGGCGGCTGAGCGGCGTGCCGTTAGGGATGCTCTGTAAATCCTGGCGCTGCTGTGCTGGACCGAAGGTGACTCATGCAATATTTCCTCTTGATTTAATCACTGCTACGAGGCCAGAGCTCTCTCCACCAAAACAATAGATGCACATTAGCTCCCGGAACTCAGAGCTGCCTTGGCCTTGCTAGATGAGACAGTCCTTGTCGATGAAGGCACGGCTCCGTTCTCCAGAAATTGCCTCCTGGAAGCAAAACGCGCTTCTCCTGGGAGCCTTCATCCCTGATTGCTTACGGTGCTGGTGCGAGTCGGGTTTCTCTTCGGTTGGGTGGCTGGGTTTTATTCTGTCTGCTTGGCTAAAGGCCTTCCCAAACCCTGACCGCAGAGTCCCCAGCCCCGCTGTCCTTAGGCTCTGCCCTGATTCTGCCGTGTGCTCTGAGCACAAGAACGGTAAAGCTGGAGAGGCTGAATCCAGCTGAGGCTCGGAGCACCGCTGGACACATCGTTGTTTCGAAGACACTGCGGGAGCCAAAGAGTATTTCCAGTTGCAGCGCTCTACGGGATGGTCTTCCAAAGGCGAACCTCCTCCATGTCAAACAGAACGCTCTGCTCCCCTCTAGGGTGTAGGGGACCACAGCTGGGATGCGGTGGGGAGCATCCAGACGGCGTGAGCTGAGCGTGAAGCTTCTGGGCTGGGTGCTTCCATACGCTGGAAGCGAAGCTTGAGCGAGTCCGGTGTGCTCCAGCTTTCCATCTGGACGGCACTCGCTGGGCGTGCCCCTGCAAGGGGCCGGGATAAACCAGCCCGGCACGTTCCCCTCCGTGGTCTCCTCTGGCAAAGGGGAGCTGGGGGGTGAGCGGCCGGTCCGGGTCCCTTGCGACCGAGCCGCTGACAGGCACTGACGCCGTCCCTCCGAGC